ATTGGTATATTTCTAAACACTAAATCCAGAGTACAATTCATCAATTAAAATTTAAATTATTTAACTCTGCTGCGGATTATTTCAAATTCTCAATACATAACACCAATAATCGAAATATTTCCAATATGTTTTTTGTTGCTAAACACAAAGTTGTTACATAATGGTTGGGAGGGGGGCTTGTGATTTGAGTCTTGAGTTTGATCCCCATTTTCACCATCTTGTTTTTATTATTGCAAAGCTACTAAGGCTATCTGCCACTCTCACTATATGAGCTTCTAACTAGAGGAAAGGCAACTGGTTAGAAAAACCCACTGCCAACTCGTTTTTTACTTTTACTTTTTTTTTTCACATTGCAGTATTAATGTTGTATAAGCAGACACATACAAATCTAGTTGAGGAGGTTGTTTTACATGTATTAATAATTATATTCTTTAATGTTATATAAGGAGACCTAGGTCTAGAGGATGGACCCAATTTTTCCAACTTCACATATTTGTTTTTCTAAAATTAATAGCTATAGTATTTAATACTGTATAAGCAAGCATGGATCTGGGGAAACTTAGGTGTTTCAAACCTCACCTTCATTTTTCTCAGGAATTAATAACTATATTTAATGTTGTATAAGCAGGTATCAACCTAGAGGAGTGGGTCTAGGGGACTAAACCCCATCCTACTCTTATTTTTTTTAGAAGTTAATTACTGTATTATTTTATATTGTATATGTGGGTACAGACCTTAGCATGTCTGAATTACCATCCATTTTTCAGAAATTCATTAAAAAACAGGTCCTTACCTATTATATAGTATCAAAAACAAATATTAGAGGTTTTCTGAAATTAACACAGCTGGAGTCTACAGCAATTCAGTTAACTGATTATTTTTAAGCTAGTACAACAAAATGAATGTCAATTAAACTCTGACATGGTAAGTTTTTGCACCTTTACTTTTTCCAGACATTCTAACAGTGTGTCTAGACATAATAAGACTTGTTTTTATCAAAAATAGTATTGTTAGAACACCTTTACCTCTTATGACATAAGACTTGTTACACAATCCATTTTTCATTGTTTGGAAATTAGACTCCTTGTGAGAAAAATATTTTTCATATTGATATATCCAAAATAAGCAAAAAATGCAAGTGATGATTAAAAAAAAATTAAAATAGGCATCCTGTTTACAAATACTTAAATACGAATTTAAGTATAGACTTCATAATTTTTTGAAATAGAATTACATTTTAATTACAAAATTTTAAATGTTTGTCTTTAACAGTTCTTATTTTCATATTAATCACATTACTAGAAATTGACATTGTTGGACTGAGCTATTCATAATAACTTTTACAAGCTTACTAATTAACTTTATTACTAAAATTACTAGTAGTATATAGTTTTAAGTAAAGCAAACAATGAAGGTTATATAAATCTACCAATACTACTAGTAGAGGTCTAGTTGGACTCCCCCTTCTATTTCATACTAAATCTGACTATTTTGAGTCTTACTTAGAACAAGATTTGCAACTATTTAACACAGATAAATATCTACAAAAAATATTGTTTTTATATGAACACTATTGCCACAGTTTTGGCAGATTCGACTAAGTTCAAGATGCCAAATTAACTTTTGTAGTTTCCATACTACATATAATTTCTAATGTGTTGTGTCTTCATGGGATTTTGCAAGCTTCAAGTAAGCATTAAGTCTTTTGTAGACAAAAAGACAACTTTTAATGAAGTAATTTCATCAAAAATTTCTCTGTGAATGTATGGAGTCAAAGTGTTGACTGTTCTGAGTGCAAAGTGATTTCATTTGTATACTCACTATAACCTTCTAAATCAATTTCAAACTTTTTTTAGAGAAACTTCAAATCTTATCTATTATTTACTCTATATGAGGTTGGCCAATTTGACCAACTTCGTAATCACCATAAAAAAATTTGAAATATATATAAATTGCCCCCTTTTTTTTCTTTCTAGAATGACTTCAAAATGTAGCATGAAACTACTATTGATCCTAAATAGCTTAAACTCGTAACAGTATAGACCTGTTTCTACTTAAATTTTATTGTTTTATTATCCTTTGAACTATGTCTTACTAATAATTGTAAATCACTTGACAAACACGTAGCTCATGTTACTCTATAGAATTATGTAATGCACAGGCTACTTAGGAGCATACCTCATGAAACATTTTTATTTATTTATTTTTTCTTTATTGTACCTAATCTAGCCTTAACTACCTTAAAAGGTTTTAGTTTTTACATATTAGTTAGAATACACATGAAAAACAAGATATATATTATTTAAGTGGGTATTTTTTTCCTGTTGACTGTCAATGAAACTTGACCCAACTTTTTCTTACTAATGGTACTACTGCACTAAATAATTTGTTAATTAATCATATAATGCATCTAAGAAGACAGAATAATAACATGTAAAAAGCAGACAATGTCCTACACTACCATAATTTTTATGGCTTTCTTACTATGCAATAAAGTCGTTAAAAATTCAGCTAAGTTCCTCAATGTGTTTCCCATGGGAATAAAGATTGAACTGGAAGCAAAACAGACAATTCTCTGTACAACAAACATAATACGTCATTTGATAGATTAAAACCTTGGATTTATATTGATTATAAATAATATAGTATTATCTGTCAGAGAAAACTATTGGCAGTTTTTGAAAGATGGGATGTGACAAATGGGTGTGGTAAGAGGGGTCTGATTTTCTATTTTTGGCTTTGTAACCAAATCAGATTGAAGGTTATGAAAAATATGCTTTGCCTGAGTAATAATAATATTATAATGAGTAATTTACATTAAATTCCATACTTCTTGGAGAGAAGAAGGGAGACTTAGAGAGCAAATGTCATATATTCTCAAACTAGGAAAAATTGAGGATTTTTGTAAATATTATCTTATGAAATTAAGAACTTAAAACTTATAGAATATCAACATTTGGAGTATTAGCTTTATTTTGATGTGAAGTTTATTAATATACCATGATAATAAAGTAGTTTAATTAAATTTTGAATATAACTCAGTAAAACTTTGTGACATGCACAGAAAAGGAGCTCTGCATGGAAAGGGTTAAAATGCTCTCAAAAAATGTAGAAATAACTTCTTTTATACAAATGGCTTTAAAACTACTTTCTATATGTTATGTAGCTTCACAAAATATCTTATTTCCTATTTAATATTTGGATGAATTCCCAGCTTTTCCTATCATACCTCAACATCATAATTCAAGTTACAGTATCCAATAATAATGCAAGCTTTAAACAAAAATTAAGACTGTAATTGTAGTTGTTTACAAACATCCTTTTTTCTAGCAACATATTACCAAGCTAAGATTTTATCACTTTGTTCCAATCTCTCTCTATATATGCATAAATCTTTGCTGAACTGGAAGACTTATTGGCTTTTACAGTTGAGAAAAACAGAAAACACAAAGCTGAGATAGAGGCAATTTCATGACAACTGAGGGCAAGAACCAGCGATTGGTCAAAAATTGATAAAACTATATTTGTTTACAAGTTATAAAGACAATTTAGTGCTATTTTGTTCAAAACTAATATAAATTTCTTCCTAGGGACTACAGGTGCCATAAATTGCTTAAAAAAAATTCAGAAAATTCACAAACACGAATGATTTAGTTTGGAATATGCTGAACACATCCAAAGTAAAAAACTGTGTTGTGATTATTTTTCAAATTGGTATATATAAAATTAAATAAACTTTTTTATTAAATAAATTTCAACTCTGAAGTTCTTTTTATTTGTGGATAAAAAAAAATGACTACAAGTATTTTATAAATTGTTTAGTTCATTAGTGGAATTTTGCTCTCAAGGCATGAAAAGGTTAAACAAATTTAAAAAAGAAAGATGCATTTATGAAAATATCAGTGTCTGTAACATTCAGATGAACTTAACAGTAGATTTTATAAATTTATTTGTTACTTCCCCATTTTTGTTACAGAATGAAGTAACATTAATTCAACTATGATTTGTTTGTTATTACTCAATACTGGTTGGCCTTTCATCAGAACTGACTTCAAAATTCTTATTCAGTAGAGAACAAAGTGTTACCTTACAGAAAAGTGTTTCTAGAAAATACAACATAGAAATACAAGACATTATAACCAAAAAAGAAAGCTTACCGAATCAATATTGGTACACAAGAAATGTCTGGGGTTTTGGAGGTAAATGGTGAAGCTACTGAAGCTTCTGTCTCAGACAATGAAATACCAGCATGAGCTGCCTTTAATGCCTGTTAAATTAAACATTTACCAAAGAGATTATCACAAAACTAATATTTTATAATATTAATGTTTACAACAAATTAGGATCACACACACACTGACCAAAACTTATCCAGAATAATCTTGAACATAATAAAAAAATGTAATAACTTACATTTTTACCCCTATATTCATGACATAAATTGCCAAAAAATATACAATTTGTTGATGTACATTACATAATGTAATAGGATGTGATAATTACAGAATGTATAATAGAGACAGATGTTTTTTAACAATTCATTGAAGAACAGAAACATTACATACTTTATTTCAAAGCATAATGGAGTATTTTGACCATACTTTACTTAAAATACCATTACTATAGAAAAAAGTTTATTTGATGCTTCCTTTTTCAAATTTCTTTAGAAGTTTTTTGACACTACATGAAGTTTTTCGTTAATAAATTGTGAAAAAGAATACTAGGCAAAATTGTTTCTTTTGGATATATATTTTTTTTATTTTATTTATTCCTGTAAACTCCCAGTGGAGCATAGGACCGCTACAACAACTCGCCAAAGGAAGTTGTTGTTGCAGTTACTTGTAGCAAGTTGGTTTTTATGAGGTGCAGTTGCTAGCCCCACGCCCAACCCTCCTCCTTTCTCATCCTGGACTTGGGACCAGGCAAAAGCGGAGGTTGGCATGTTTGGTGTGATGGGGATTCGAACCCGCGACCTTCAGATTACGAGTCGAGCGCCCTAACCGCCTGGCCATGCCGGGCCTTTCTTTTGGATATAGTGCTTGATTATTTAAAGGCAAATTAAATTACCTGTCAAGATATTACTGTAGTAAACAAACACATTCAATTAACATTAGAAAAAAACAAAACATGGAAGTGTAACTGAAATAGTGTGTTATAACTATAGACTAAATAGTAACAAAAAAGAAAACATACCCCACAATCGTTGGCTCCGTCTCCACACATTCCGACATAATATCTACAAAAAAAAAATATCATGAAACTAATTGATTGTTCTACCCAAATATGTACGATTGTGTATATCAAATCAATAAAATAAACTCATAACATTTGGTGTCTTTTCTGATCCACTCGTATTGCCAAACAGGTTGAAAAAGTGTTGTTCACACGCTGTAATCTACTCCATGGTCACAGTATTTTCAAATAATGCTTCTATAAAACTGATCAATTAAAGTCATTTATGATGTCATGTCCAGTAGAAGTCTTGAATAAGAGTTGAAACCCTTTGTAGATGTATGAACTATTTGTCTTATTTTGTTCAGTACATGTGTGTAACTATGGTCAATGAAAAGCTATGAGAATTTTTTTTACACTGGAAAATGACAAAGTACCTTTTTTGCATGTTTTTTAAAATGAAAATATAATTGATACTTTCAAGCCAAGGATTTAAAAACAATAATAACCACTTGCCTAGATCAGAAATACTTCAAATTTAATGACCAAATATTTAACAGAACAACTGGTTACCGATGAGTTCCCCCTCTCTCCTTTGCTTGCAAAAGTTTTCATGGATAATTTAGAGAAGAAATTGTTTAGTGATGAAAGTAATACAAAACATGTTAAATATAGGTACAGATATGTTGATGATGTGATTTGTCTCTCGACAGGCTCCAAATTTCAACTGGATAATTTTGTAATTTTTCTAAATTCACAAAACAAATTTATTAAATTTACTATGAAATTTGGTAAAAATGGAAACATCAATTTTTTGGTCTTAAATATTGACATAAATAATGGTATACATTCCTTCAAAATTTTCAGAAAACCAACTTATAGTGACATCATCATACATGCTTCTTCAAGACATCCAATATCTCAAAAACTTGCCGTGTTCCATAGTTTGTTACACAGGCTTATCACTGTACCCTTTACATCTGAAGATTGTGAAACCAAATTAAAAACAATAAAACAATTGCTGTCAACAATGGTTATACAACAAAGTTAATTGACACATTGAAGAAACATCGTAATGAGTCATAGTATGGTGCCAGTAAATGAGCTAGAGAGAAAAATTAAAATAACAATATGGGGCTGGGGCTTAAGGGCCATGAAATGTATTTGAATAAGCCAAGTGTGGTCCGCCTGGGCAAAAAACATCCAGGAGAAACACCTTATGTTGGATTATGCCAAGTTCAGTCAATCCAGGCAAAAAACATCCAGTGGAAGGACCTTGCATAAGAAATATATGATCAACAAGTGCAGTCTGCCCTAGCAAAAACATCCAAGGGAAGCGCCTTGGATACTGAATATTATTGTATAATTCATTGTTTGGTACTATAATGATTATAACAGCTATAGCCCTTCTCTTACCGAGTGGGTACACATGGGCTAGAAAGCAACTAGGTCCAGCATTTAGGAACCAAAAGGGGTGGAATACACTTTGGGGAGTCTGGATGAATGATTCAATGAGTGTCTGCGATTCCCTATTTTAAAAAGCAGATAGACCCATATTGTATTATTCATGGGTCAGTAGGAATGGTCATAAATTCCCATCTGATTTAACCATTAGGTCCATGAGTGATGGTCCTTTATAGATGAAACTAGTAACTTTTAGTAAAAAAAAAGAAAAGATAGTTATACATACCACCGGAACAGATGCCGGTGGTCTTACAAAAACACCCCATCTCAACAGTGGGCATTTCAGAATTATTCATATCTTGTGCAAATATAATATGAAGCATACCTGACCAAGCAACACCCGCTACCAGCTAGGTCATGCAGATAATGTGTGACAACTGTATTGGGAGTTGTCCACTTTCCAGCGTGAACAATCTTGTTCAAAGGCCAGTGAAAGTGAGCAGCTAAAAACATAGTTAGATAACAAACTCAGTGAGTAGTAACACTGTGCAGCTGGCGACCTTCCATGGATAAGTCAGAACACGCCAATCATATGAGTTGACAAACCCAACCAACGAATGCAAGAGGGGACAGATCATGGGACACAGAGGGAATCTTTGGAACAAATAAATGGGAATAACAAGAAAGAGGGCAGTACAAGCCACATAACATCTCAGGGCAGTAGATGTCAAGATAAGGAAGGCCCAATCAGGATAAAGGATAACATAAGAGTAATGAGATAGGATGCGGGAAACATCCACGGCATAAATATCAGAACAAAGACGATTGCAAGCAAGCAGGAAGAGGAAAAAGAACTTAAGGGAAAGAAGGAACACATAGCAATGGGTTCAAATGGAGAACTGGACAGGGCACGAAGGACAAAACTGATATCCAATATGGCAAAACAAAGGGATGTGGAGGACAGACAAGATGAAAGTAACAGAAAAGGAGAGAAATAACGAGGGAGGAGAAATGGAACGTTTTGACAGGGCACCTTATAACTAGAAACAGTTGACATGGACAAAACCTGATCAAACAACTAGGCAAAGAACTGGGAAAGATGAGATACCAAAGGACAGGAGGGGTGGAAGCCATGGTGAACAGATGAGGATCTGAAGGTAGACTACTGCCTCTGGTACACAAACAACGAGGAAGGTCGAATGGAATGGGAAAAGAAATACACAACACGAAGGGCAAGAACCTGGGTTGAGGCAAGAGATCAAACAAAAACCGAGTGTAAAGATGGAATGTGGCGACGTCTAGATTAACTATGTCTGAGCACAGTTGTTGGAGATAGGGGTAAGGGCAGGAGATGTCACTCAAATAATGGTCAGAGCAGAGAAAACCACATCTGAGTAGGCCAATATGGAACAACAAGCAGGACATGACAAGGAGTGGTCTGGATAAGGGATAAAGACTCTGGAGAAGAGTCTGATTGGGGCATGAGCATACATATATGGGCGAAGACTTCTCCAATCCTGACTGAACGCATCTATTTCCAGAGCTGAAAAGTGTGGAAACTGAAAGGAAGGAATTTTGGTGTTCCAGTGAGTGGCAAACACTCACTGAAATACCCATGGAAGAAGAGACCACTCATTGGGAAGAACCTGGTTGGGTCAAGGTAAGTGATCGACCTCCAGATTCATAATGCTGGAAATGTGATGTGTTAAGATTGCCGTGTAGTGGTCATGGGCCCAGTAAAGAAGATTCATATTCTGAAAACAGAGATCTAGATTTAGTTCCCCTAGCTTGGTGATATAGCCTATGACAGTGGAATAGTCAAAATGAGCCATAACCACCCACCCCCTAAGAAAATGATACAGAGCCCGACGAACTGCTAAAAGTTCCAGGATGTTGAAAATGGGAAAATAGCCTCCTCAATGGACCATCACCTGGAAATCTCCTGGGAATCGAGGAATGATTTTTGGGAACGAAAATAATGTCTAAAGAAACTGTAAAAAAATTCCCAGATCTGTGTTTGTTTCAAAGTCTTTTAAACTTCCCATTAGTTTACTTTGTTTATCTCTACACAAGATCTGTCTAGTCACTTTTCTACAAAGCCATAACTTGCTGCTCAAACCACGTTATTTACTCTGCATTGAAGTAAACAAATTATAATCTGTTTCTGTCTAGTTATACTTAAATGTTGCTTATAGCTACTTCAAAGCTGTGCTTCATTGGTAATTGCTCAGACCAAATGCTGTGATATTGTAAAATAGTAATGGGTCTTGTAGTAATAATACCACTAACAAAGAAAGAAAGCAAACGAGGAACCTGACATGGATAAGCATATTCTGAAAGGATGACAGATTCTTAGTGAACATAAATATATACTTTGGGATGGTTAGAAAAATTATAAAAAAATTAATGTGTTGTTTACAGACAAGATTCTTCTGATCTGCACAGTACTGAAAGTTGGGTTTTTTTAATTTTTGTTAGTAAATTACACTAAATAAACCTTGTAAAATGATAAAATATCACTTCTAAAATATTTTTTGAGTTAAAAATTGGTGAAATAGAGTTAGGACTATTATTACTATTACTTAGATTTTACAATTTGATGTGTAGATGTGCAATCAAACCCTGAATGATGCTCGCAATTCATGATAATGTTAATATAAGGCTGAACACAGAAAAGAAAAAAAAACTTATCAGTTATACAGTAAATAATCAATATGCTTACAACATAAAATCATTTTGTTTTAATATTGCTAAATGATTTGAGGAAATACAGGTTCAATATTTAGGGCATACTTATTTGTTACAGACCATTGCATCACAACCTGTGTTGTTTAGATGAAAATGGATTATAAACCAAATATCTGATGTTGATTGACTCTATAAAGATACAAGTTACTAATATAATCTAAGAAACAATTACATACATTTATGAATTCCTGACTTCATTCATCTACAATGGATCATTCATTATTTTTATAATAATACATAAATTATCAAATGTTGGTTTTCATTAACATTCAGATGTTCTTATCTAAGACAGTCTTTAGTTTCTATACATTCATATTTAACATTCCAGCTGTAATGCATACCTGAATATTTGCTGAACATATAAAGAGCTTTTAACCCTATGCGCAAGTTTCTGTGAAACAACGATTAGTGTAATTCTGAATTTACTGAGTGTATTTTCATTAAGTTTGATAAATTTTTAGTAAACATTACAAATATGTTATATACAAAAAAATCTGAATTTTCAATAAAGTGTTTTTACTAAAAATTTGTCTTTGAATTTATGGGGGTCAGTCTGACTAGTTTGAGAGGAAAGTGATTTTCATGATAACAATAAAAATATTTCTTTTTATTATCTAAGATTTCATACTTTATCTGCATAACTTCTATCTTTAAACACCCTAAATTAATATAAATTTTTTTCCAGTAAAGTTTCATACTTTATCTCTTATTTCCTCTACTCTAACACTAACTACAGAAAAAGTTGAAAAATACCATTTTCTTTTAGAATGACTGCAGATTGTAACAAATAATTAATTATTTATACTAACAATTTTAGATCTCTTAACCTTTTCTCAACTGCTTTATTTACTTTTATCATTTTATCTTTCTTTAAACCATGTCTAAGTGTGACAAAGCAATAAATCACTTGATGAGAGCTTAGGGTAAACATACTATCAAAACCTTGTCGAAACATTGTACATTTGCTGTTATGTGAAACTTATATTACAGTTTTTCTTCATTACCCATTCAAGCCATCTCCAACCATTATTTATACTATCAAGTTACATCACACCAGTGTTCCTCCAAGAGAGAGATCAGAAGAATTTCTACTTAATTTGTTTTTCATTTAACTTTTCTTATCAATCTATTAAGTTTCTAATCCTACATTTCAGCTACTTTTGTTAAATATCAATAAATAAAAAAATATACATAGAATAACAGAAATTTAGAGCTTACCATAACTCTAGCCTGTTTGTATTTGAGTGCTTGCTTTCCTAAGTCTTTTTTTTTTCTAACTATGCTGATTGTCCAAAATATTTTTATAGTTGTCAAACTTAATTATTTAAAACATAAACAATAATTCAAACTGTAAAATAGAATGCCACAAAGCTACTATGACTTAGCTGGCTTTCTAACCAACCTATAAATGTAAAGCACCAGCCGAAGATGGCATAAATAACATAATTCTAAAAATTTCTCAGAATCTGTCCTCAGACAATTAATCACGATATTCAACCTCTCATTATTATCAGGATATTACCCAAGTATATGGAAATCAGCCACCATTAAAGTATTACCTAAAAAAGACAACGATTGGACCAACCCTGGCAATTATAGACCTATTAGTTTACTAAACACCTTAGGAAAATTAATGGAAAACTTATTACCAATAGACTCAATTGCTATCTCAAAACCATTAAATCTTAAACAATAACCCAAATGCAGGCTGTAAGAGCAGACAAACAACAGATCACCTGGTTAGACTGACTGAATCAGCCTACAATTGAAATAGAAAAAACTACCATAGCCACTTTCCTAGATGTGCAAAAGCCTTCGACTCTGTTTGACATAATGGGATAAGATACAAGCTGCACACAATCAATATTCCTGTCCCTATGATATGCTGGATATCAAGTTTTCTTAATAACTGTAGTGTAAAGGTAAAAATTAACGATGCAGTATCACTCCCCTTTACATAAGTAACTTGCACACTAAATTCACAATATGTAGATGACATAGCCATATGGAGTACATCAAGTAACATGCACACAGCAATCTCCAAAGTTCAAGCTTCCCTTAACACGGTATCTATGTGGTGTAGTAAATGGTGAGTAGCCCTCAATCCCACCAAAACGCAAGCAATTGCATTCTGCAAGAAAATGAACAAATCTCAGAAGAAAATTCAGAAACCTAAAGCTAAGATTAAATAATACATTAGTAAGTTTTCTAATAAAATCAGATTTTTAGGTTTAACATTCACATATAATTTATCATGGCAGAAACACTTAAATGACACCATTAGCAAAGCGGGTGCCAGAATCAACTGCCTTAGGTGCACTGGGGCATCAACAAAGGATGCTCTAACAAAACTATTATTTCCATTTATAAAACTTACATTAGACCGAAAATAGAATATGGTAATGCTGTAATGTGTCAGAAAACCAATGTAAAAAAATATAAGGGTTACAGAATACAACAATTAAGAAAGCACACAGAATCCCAAATTACACACTACCTTAATACCTTCATTCATTAACAAAACTCCCCGTTTTAAAACAACGCTTCATGAAACTAGCTACCCTTTTTACAAACGCACCTCAGCTAGAAATACTTGAACCCATGAATTTGCCCAAATAGCATTAATCTCTTCCATGTGGAACAGATACACATCCCCCTCTCAACTGTATTAAGAAGAATAACACACAAAGGTCATGTGACTACTAACCGATTATTTCACTTTCAACTTTGGGCGCTGGACAGGTAGAATTATTCGTTGCCTGTCTAGTGAAAGTGGTTTTCTCAGGGTACTCCAGTTTCCCCTACATCCAAATTTGTTGGCTAATTGCATCATTGGATCCCAAACCCTGAAAAGGACCGCGTCCGGTATGCTTAAATTTAAATCCAATAAATGCCAAATTTTAAGGGAAATTTTAAATCAATATAGTCAGTAAAATCTGTAATCTATTGAAATTATAACCTTTAATGTTAACCTTCATTATAATTATAACCTTCATTATCCTAATATTATGAAAATTCATTCTTTCAAATATCTGTTATGATGTATTAACCAATTTAAACCAACAGGGTGTACTGTATACTGGATCTCTCTGCTTGTTTCGCCACTGCTGACAACTTTACCATCACGACATCAACACCACATGTGTAAACAAACATGTGTGTTCCATGTGCACCAGCTTTGTTGCACTCCATTACTCAAAGCCGCTATCAAGTCAAGTTCAATTCCTCCTCACTTTCATTTTTGTCCCAGTTTCTTCTGTTGCTCTGATGCCAATTAGCTAGATAGTTTTTTACCCACCTTTTAACCTTAAATGTGTGACAGTTCATCTCAAGGATATAAATCAAATCATTTGAGTCCAATCTTTAATCCACGGGTAGGGGCTGAAGACAAACAACAGTTCCTTTGGGGCTTGCGAGATTTAAAACCTAAATTACTGTCATGTTAGTTAGTTACTTAGTTATTACTTACCAGAGCACAAACTTCTGTTTAAACTAAGCTAAATCAACATTTAATCATCATAATCACACACTTCACAAAATGGCCTCTTTATTGGTTATAAACATCTACCATTAACAAGTAGGTGTAACTAAATAAGTGATTCCAAAAGTATGATGTGTGGGAAGGAGTTTCTGTGGTAGGTGTAACAGATTTACTCAGAAAATAGAGAAGACAGAAGGTTTTAAATTCTGGTTTATCAATATCTAAAGTTGGTGTATATAACTGGTGGACATTCTGAAACCAATATAAAGGAAGAAACAAATCTAATAGGTAGAAAGAGGTATCATGTGACACAGGGATGTTGTTTAATTACATTTTGAATATAATTCTGTCCAAAAAAAAAAGTCCTTACATGCACAATTTGACCATAAATGGAGAAACTTGCCAAGACAAAGACATTAAATCTGACACTTAAGTTCATATTAATTTATATGGAAATTCAAGATAAATATGAGATACAGTAATACCTTGGCATTTAATACTAGTCATAAAAAACATATTTTTGCTTATTATATTCAAGAAAATGCATTATAGACAAGTGGAAGAATGTGAAACAATATAGTTCTGTGTAAGTATTAAAAAGTAGAGGAAAAAACAAAACACTACAATGCAGAAACCTAACTGAAAACCAATGTCTTAAAATTTTGCCAACTAAGTTTTGTTTTTCACTACCACAACAACAACTGCTTTTACTTTTCTATATAAACTAGTGGTAACTTCCTGTTTAGTTAGGTATGCCACATGAGACACTGTGAACTCACCCCAGCTCCTGTAGTAGTTCCACTAACTGTTGTTTCTGTTCTGGTGCCATTCTAGCAAAAACAGTTCCACAGACAGCCACCTTAAACAAAGAAATCCTTTACTATTTTATACTTCTTAATATGTTAAAGGATAAAAATAAAATCATGACTCAAATATTTCATGTGCACAATAATTTGTATAAGATTAAAAGAAAAAAAATGCTATACATGTTTTTGTGGAAAACATGATCCAACATCTTCAGTGAGTCATGAAACCAGACAAGTCAGTAGACATTCTGAAAGAAATGAAGAAAGACAAGCTGTCCTAAGGATGGGGCTCAACAACTTGAAGACAGTGCAGTGGTAATAAAGAATAAAATAAGAATAAAAGGTTGAAGTTCTTTAACCTGGTTAGGGTCTTTGTCTTTAAATATGCAGAGGTTTAGACAACCTGTAAGAGTCCATGTTGAATATACAAGATTGTTTAGTATAAGTTATT